TTGAATTGGTACACAAAACATTGCCATCTCGTTCCTCTTCGTCTTGTGCGTTGTCACATAGCTCGTAAGTCAAAAAGGAATTCACTGCGCGACGTTTATTAATCGCAACGGCCGATTTGGAAGCGCCGTGCTCTTCTTTCGGCCCTCTGAGTTCTTGAACCCGAGCCAAAAATGCCCACAATTCGCCCGACGGCCGTCTTCCGTTGTCCAAATGCCGCGTCGGAAGTAATAAAACGTCTGCGAGAGGAACCGAAACTGCTGCGTCGACACAAACAGGAAAGTAAAATTAATTATGAAATTTACTTTCTAAAAACTATTTTTGTATAGAGTATAGACAAAACAGCATCTTCCACGACGAGTTTATTTACCTCGGAAGCAGTACCAAGAATCCCATTTATGGTAGTAACTTGGAGACGAGTACATAAAAAAAAGAAACGGTGGTCGTTATTAAAAAAAAAGAATAATCAAAGAAAACCTAAAAAAGAAACAAATATCTCCGCGATCTCTCGAGCGCGGAGAAACGCCTAATTACGAAGCCAGGTATCGTGTCGTTTGCTCTGGGGCCACGTGTGAGCTCACCTAACAAGTAAACGAGTGCTTAATACGCCCGGAAAGCAAGGGGTCAAGTGGAATTGAACTCCTGTAAGAAACGCCACGACAACGTCGCGTTCGTGTACAATTGATTGTATAAAGTTAGCTACCAGTTCTAAGACTCCTTCTAAGATAGAAAACTGACTCCACAGTTTACGCATTAACAAACCCATCTTTGTTTTAACCCTAGAATACTTAGCCAATAAAATATCGTCATTTACATAATCCGGGCTTCTGAGACCCGTTATATAAAATCACGTGTAGTCAGAACAGAAACAAAGTTATTGAAGTAAAACTTTATTTATTTATACATATGTACGTTACAAACGTGGGGTTAAATATGAAGTGGACATTATTGTTAAAAAAACATTATTGTTTATTGTTTTTAGGGATTAGAGAAGCATTTCTAATACTATGCTCATTACAGATATTGTGCTTTTACGATCAATACTTGCGGGACATACTGAACATCTTTTTCTCTTAATTGTAGTCTCTCAATAAATCTGCTCATACACTCCCGAATAGTGCGCCGTAGTAGGTTAGGGTTAGTATATCTTCTCTGCATATGTGATATCACAATTCCTTCGCTAAATCTTTCTACGTTTGTGAGTCACTACTATGTTGTAGTTTGGATGTTTCTTCGTAAAGACTATACATATATATCTCCTTTAGTTTTGAAGATAATTGATTCAAATTTGGGACATCCTATACACATGATAAGAGACACTTTTTGACATACAAGTAATTTTTTTTTCAATTCCGGAAGTGACACTAACTTTAGATTTTTACATGGAACACCCTGTATATTATTACATTTTTGAAATCTGTCACATAAATGACATGTTGGAACCATATTGGTACTGTGGTACCATTTATTAGTACTATTAATAAGAAATTTATTTGTACCTAGTATTAGAACATACAATAAATACAATAAAAATTACAGCTAAACAAAATAAGAAAATACAATTTTGATCTAATTAAATGTTAAGACGTTCCTAAGGTGGCTTTGGAATTAAAAAAATGAACACAAAACATTACATCAGTTGTTCAAAATGCTGTCCATTAACGTCATTGCACTTCTGAACTCTCACAGCTGTTTCCCGAAGAACATTTTCTAGTAGCTCTAGATCTTCACGGGTTGTACCAGCGGTTGCATAAACAATGTTTTTTAAATGGCCCCAAACAAAGAAATCAAGGGGTGTCAAATCAGGTGACCTTGGAGGCCACCTTATTGGACCATTTGTCGAAATTACGTTGTCTCCGAATCTTTGTTGAAGGTAATTAGTTACTGTTCTTGAATTATGCTCCATCTTGTTGGAAATACATTTCCTGTTGTAAATGGTGGAGTAACTGGGTTAAACTACCCGCAATTTCATTTTGCAGAAATCCTAAGTATCTGTCTCCAGTCAGGGGGTCCTTCAAATATTATTGGACCAATGATTCTACTACCGATTATTCCAAGCCAGACAATAAATTTTGATTTTCTTGTGACCAATATTTTGTCTGTTGAATAATCCAAAATTCGTAAAACTGGATTAGTCCGAAAATAAGATCATTCCCAAAAAATCATTGTTTGGCTGCACGTTATTCTGCAAAATCCAATTGCAATATTCCATCCTACGTTTGTAATCATTTTCATACAAGTGCTGGTGTAATTGGTATTTAAAAGATTTATACTTGTATTTGTGCAAAATTCGGCTTACCGTTTGGTGACCGATACCCAACCCAACCCAACACAACCCAATTTGTCTTAAAGAAAGGGTCTTATCAACTTCTATTCGTGCCAAAACATTAATTTCCGTTTCTTCATTAATAATTGAATTATCTTCGGGATCATGGTTGGGCTCTCTTCGGAATTGATTTTCAAGACAATTAAAATAATTATTAGCTGGACATTGTCTATCAGGATATCGTTCGGCATAAAGGTTTCTGGCTACAACGGCATTTCTTCTACATTCCCCATAAATAATTAACATGTCCAGTTTTTCATCTCTTGCATAAGTTTGCGGCATTTTGAACAAAATTAACAATAAATGTAAACACTTTTTAAAGACACAATAAAAACACCGATAAACAAACAATCTACCTTGTATTTGACATATTAAACAGTTTCATTGTTTCCAAAGCCATCTTAGTAACGTCTTAACATTTAATTAGATCAAAATTGTATTTTCTTATTTTGTTTAGCTGTAATTTTTATTGTATTTATCGTATGTTCTAATACTAGGTATAAATAAATTTCTTATTAATAGTACTAATAAATGGTACCACGATACCAATATGGTGAACTTTATTTGCACATAAATCACGTAATTTGGTATTTTTGGCGGAATTTAGATTTTTCTAGCATTAGACGGGTTAATTAGAATAAAACGGAACTCTCATGGCACACTTAAATGGAAAATTACACATTAAATTCTAAAAAATATTGACGTTTGAAATGTCACGTAAATGGACTCATTGGATTCAGATTTCAAAAATGTAATTATATACAGGGTATTCCATTTAAAAATCTAAAGTTAATGTCAATTCAGGCGAAACCGGAATTGAAAAAAAAATTACTTGTACGTCAAAAAGTGTCTCTTATCATGTATATAGGATGTCGCAAATTTGAATCAATTATCTTCAAAACTAAAGGACATACGGGGGATGTACCGTGATCCTGTTACACCCGGTATATGCATTGAGTGCTGCAACATCAATGATGTTGAAGAAAAATGTCATGGACCTTCGTTTACTTTGCCTCTTGCACGTGTATGTCGACACCATTTGATCCATGATATCAACACCGCCCTTTGTTTTATTATAATGAGAGATGATTTCAGGCTTCCTCTTAGCGTCGTCATTGATAGATGCGTCGTGGTGCATGGTGCTTAGTAAAATTATGCATTTGTTCTTTTTACGTGCGTAACTTACCATGGATATGGTATTTTGAAAACAAAACAATGAAAAGTAGACTACACGATCTTTTGAGACTTTCATTTCTTTCGGAATGTCACGCTTATTCTGACGTAGTGTACCCACAACAGTAATATTTTTATCCAACAGATAAGTTGCTAGCGGAACACTAGTGATGAAATTGTCTATCGTGAGATTGACCAGAATTATGAATGTCACGCACAAGAGTTGGTACTACTTCAAGCCCCAGGTTTTTATGTGGAGGTTCTCCGGGCTGGCGACCAACATAAACTAAACCATCCAAAGCATAACCAGATGTAGATTCACCCATCCAAAATATTTTAAGTCCATATTTTGCCGGTTTACTTGGCATATATTGAACGAATGTGCATCTACCTCTAAACCCAACGAGTTGTTCATCAATAGTTATAATATCAGGTATGACGCAGGTTTTGCATTGCTGAATGAATAAATCGCAAATGTAGAACACCATCGGTTTCCAAACGCGAAATCTTCGTATTTCTTCAAAGCGAAATATGGACATTGTGGCTCGGTAACAAATTCATCACAAAATAATTCTCTCGCGGGAACATTCCAGCTTCTGTCAACTCCCGCATGAATAAGTAAACCACAGAATGCAAGAAATTCATCAACAGTTACATCTTTCCACGGTTTTCCTTTTGCTCCATAAATACGTTTGCCCTCTAAATTAGTACAGTTCACAATTTCTTGTACAATAACTGGAGTTACAAATAACTGAAACGCTTCTTTTGGTGTTGTAGCCATATGTTTCCTTGCTAGTCCTGGCGCACGCCGAATAATGTTGTGTGGTTGAATTTTATTTTTTGCTGGATGTTTCAAACTCCATACCAGACCACTTGGAGGCTTACCAATATCATCAACATCATCCTCTGAATTATCGTCACCATGATCAGAACTGGATCCAGAATACTCGTCAGGAACCAATTCGAACTTTCTATCTTCTGTGTCATCATTTTCTGCTTCTGACACATCACTTTCTTCAGAAGGCAGATCATCACATTCAGCTGCCCACTGCACTAATATTTTTTCATAACCGGGGTCACCAAATCTCACGCTTTTCACATTCCTTTTTGACGCCATTATCATATGTATCTCACAAGTTCACTCAATCCAACTTCTATTCCAAATGAATGAAAAACAGCTGCACCTACTTTTATACATCCAACAGTAATGCACGTTTTAACTTGCACAGACACGCACAATTTCGCATGACTATAATTTGTCATAACTCTCAACCTGTAATGAACAAGTTGAAACTTGTTCTATAGTAACTAGTAGTACACGGGCTGCGGAGGTCCAGTTTATGCATCCTAGGGTTAATGAAGGGGGACTTTACGAAGTAGGTTTCTATTCTATTAGCAGAGTAGGTTTATTGATTTGAATTAAATCGGGAAAATAAAAACTTTATAGCTCTGTTTATGTGGATTGATTAAAACCGAAATGGATTCTAAAATAATTAAACTTACCTTCCATAAGATCTCTCCACGGTTCTGGACACGTGCTGGGAATGGGTAGAGTTAATTTATTAACGGCGACTCCATAAGCTACAGCTAAAGTATCAATTCCTTTGTACGGCGTTTCTCCGGTTAATAACTCCCAAAGTAATACTCCAAAACTCCAAACGTCCGAAGCTTTTGAAAATGTTGAGTTTTTGATTACTTCGGGCGCCATCCAAGCGTACGTTCCAGCTTGAGACATCCTCGTCGTTTTGTAAACTTCACGAGCCAAACCAAAATCCGTTATTTTCAGTGTTTTGAATTGTAAATCGTCGTTTTCGATCGCCTCCAATAGGAGAACTAATAAAAAGAAAAGAAAAATCATTAATGGAATTATTAAATTTAATAAGGTAGGTATAAGATTTTTTTAATAGAAACCGTGTATTTCCAATAAGTTACCATTGGGCAATCATTAAGTAAAAGTAGGCTACATTGGAATGGTTTGAAGTATGTTACCTCTACTAATACAAATTGCCTCGTTTCTTTTGTATAAGAGACAAATGCAAATTTCGTTTGATAGATATCCCAATGGAATAAATGAAATTGCAAAATTTACCAAAGGATAACAAATTCACTAACGAGATTAACTCTGATAAAATCGCGTATTTATTTTGATTTATGTCACTGATTAAAACTTTTTATTTAATTCAAATGCCTTTTATAAAACGGACGGTTTTGTATTAATTTGTACAATGGGCGCTTTCGCTCGAGCCCCCGCTTAAATTTGCGTGAGTTACTGCATTGAAATCGATAACTGCACCTCTCTCAACTAGCGGCTTGGAGCCATTCTGTGGGAACGCAACTGTGCAAGACGCCAACGTGACAATGGATTGCACCAAAGCGACCGCAAACTAATCAACCTCCGAACTACGATACACGTCGTTTAATCACTTTCTTCACGCACATATACTTCCAATCTACCTGATGATGGTGTACATTTCCAAATTAACTTTACCAATCAAATCAAGAAAACACCTAATAACAAATTAAAAGATTTGTGACTTCAAAATTATTAATGACAAGAAAAAAACATGGAAGGTATTTGATATTTTGTAAAAATAACAAAGAAAAACGTAGTAAAGTGTTTCACAATAAAAAATTTAATGAATAAAAATCGTCAATCAAAAGATTATATATATACAGGGTGTTCAGTTTTTAATCAGGAAACTATAAACCGTAGAATTTCAAACATTGTACTTCCCTAGCACCCTCTAAGGGAATGAAATTCACCACCCTCTTGATTTGTTTTATTAGAACTTTTTAATGCTATGGAAATTTAACATAAAAAAATATGGGTTGTAAAGCTCATTCTTTAATGGTACTTTTTTATCTCTTTTGTATTTTCCTTAAAGTTAATAGTTTCCACCATATTGACTTAAAATTATTCTAAAAGTTGGCTCTGAAAACTTGTAAGTTTCATTTACGGTGAATCCTCATAATTGTTGATGATTATTAATAACTTTTGACTGTTATTAAGAAAGAGTATCAATTTTTAATATTGTTTAAAACAACGTAATTTGTTAAGACAGAGATTCTTATTTATGGTATTTTTTATGAAAATCACCATTAATTGTTGTTATTTAGTTAGTATTAGATCTTAGTAAGCGCGCAACTTCCATAGCCAGCTATAAAGAAAACTTTTTTTAATACTAGCAGCATACTTTATTCTTTTACGCTAAAACTATTATCTTTAAGGAAAAAACTAAAGAGACAAAAAAATACCAATAATGAATAAGCTTTACAACCCATATTTTTGTATGTTAATATTCCATGGCGTTAAAAAGTTGTTATAAAAAAATCAATTGGGTTGTGAATTTCATCCCCTGAGAGGGCTAGGGAAGTTTAAGGTATGGTTGAAAATAAGGTATTAACCAGTAGTATATACATACAAAATTTCAAATTCTACGGTTTACATATACCCGAAATAAAAGATGTTAGCTCGAAAACAAAAGATTTGCGACCCTATATTTATATAAAAAACTTGTGTTATTTTGGTAAGTACTACATCTTAGTAAAGTTTCCCGATTAAAAACTGAACCACCCTGTATATATATAAATACAGGCTGAGTTATTAGTATCCCGACGGACGATAATTGCTAAACCGTTTGAAAAAGAGAAAAATGTTTTATACAAAAGTTGTTTGACTCACCACTTTTTATTACATAAAATTATTTTCACTTATACAGGATGTTCCATTTAAGTGTAACGGAGAGTATGTAGATTTTTTTAAATGGAACACCCTATACATTTTATCATATTATGAATAACATTAAATTTGTTTATACAACCGTATATGTTACTAACTCATAGCGTTCATAGTTCCTGAGATATTCAATTGTTTTTCCAAAATGTGGCCATTGTAGGATCTTTTTAAAAACGATGTAAAAACGACATTTTTGCCTTGAAACTACGTCAGACAATAGTCAAAGCCAGTAGATAATAAATGATAGTAACCAAAGATATTAGATACGCTATACAGCGTGTTCATAAAGCTTAGTTACTTTCGATGTTTTTCAAATGGCTTTTTCATAAGTTTTTTAGATGGAACACCTATGTATTGTTTGCTGGTTGAATTGCCCATCAAATTACCTTTAATTAATGATAAAAATTAAAAGAATTTAAAGAATAATGTGTAATAAAATATGCGTTATTGTACTTAATTTATATTCTGTCTATTTTTATCAGTTTTTTTGTTCTTCCTTTTATTATTTGATTAATATTTTATAATGTAAAATAATTTTGCTGCCATATACCAGATTTTAATGCGTCATAACTTGGTACTTTATGAGATTTAAAAAGATGTAAGTAATAAAATATACAATTGTTCTGCCATATAATTTATTTGATTATTTATTTATTAAAGTTTTTTTTTTTAATTGTATTTTAATATGATATTACTGATTTACAAATGACAGACAAACAAAAAAGAAAAAAAGGACAGAATATATTACATTCTGTCACTTTTTTAAGTACAATAATGACATTTTATTACACATTTTTCTTTAAATTCTAAATATCACGAAAACTATTAAAGTTAGATATATGACGTACTTATCATTAATTAAAGGGAACTTGATGAGCAATTCAACCAGCACACAATATACAGGCTGTTCCAATTTATGTACTCTCCGTTACGCTTAAATGGAACACTCTGTATAAGTGAAGATAATGTTACGTAATCGAAAGTGATGAGTCAAATAACGTTTGTATAAAATATTTTTTTGTTTTTCAAACAGTTTAGTAACTACTTATCGACCGCTGGGATACTAATAAATCACCCTGTATAACTACTATACAGGGTGATTTATAACATACGGAGCAGACTAAAAGGGTAGGTACTAGAGGTAAAACTGAAGAGATTTTCTTAATAATTTAAAATATAAATTAATTTCTTAATAATTCTTAACCATTTTTGAGAATCGCTGATATTCAGTAAATAACAATTAAAATACTTGTCAACGCCATCCTCATTTTTGAAGGAGCTGTAAAACAAGACAATTTATTATTTCAGTAGTTTTGTTATTTTAGATAATTGGTAATTTGTTAAAAGAAATAATAGATGTTAATTTGTGTTAGGATAAGAAATAATAGATGTTAATGTTAATAAGCGGGAACCAGTCCTTGCACCTTTTGCAAATGGTTGGAGTATAAGCCATTACTTTGCAATGTACGCCAAACAATGTTCTGGGAAACTTCGAGTTGGTGAGAAATTTGACGAGTACTAGTACTTGCATCTGCATCACCAATTTCTAGAACTTCTCCTTCTACATTCACTCCATATCTGTTTGGTCTACCGCCACCAAGACCTTTCTTAGGTTGCCTCTCTTCCCCGCTGGACTAACCGAAGAAAAGTGTTTTCTGGAGGCATCCTGCCATTGTACTTTTTGATTTGTAATAGTTCTAATTTTGACGTTAAATGACATGTCCTCTGCTAAGTAACCAAGTCAATGGATTGGCAGCAATAAAAACATGGTATCAGCGGTTCTCAACAAAAAAACACCAGTTTTAGAGCGTTTTAACACATTTTTAAATAGAAGTAACTGCTATATTACAAAGATTTTATTATTTTTGTTAATTATGCATTGTTGAAGTAACCCCAAAATATTCGCAGTTTGAATTTAAACGTAATGTAATACCGTATATTGTAAGAAATGCTCTGCTATTAATTCAACTTTAACGTTCTATATCTTTGTGATTATTAAGTTGTGGTAAAAACATTGTTAAGAAAATATTTTTAATTTGGCCCCTAGTACCTACCCTTTTAGTCTGCTCCGTATGTTATAAAGCACCTGTATAACTACTATATATACAGTGTGTCCCAGGATAAATGTTACAAGAGTCTTCCTGAAATTTTGCATAGTGCCATAATTTTTCATTCTGAACAACTTTCCTTAATGATATTTTGCCGTACCATGAGCAAAAAGCTTACATTACCTGAACTAAAAATAGTTTTCGCTTCACTATCAAGGCCGAGTCAATTTTCAAAATATGAGAATATACGGAAAATTCTCTCCATACCAAGCAGGGCTTAATTCCTCAGCCTTAAAATAAAATTCAAAAATTTTTAAATCATTATACCTCTTGTAACATCTATCCTGGGACACACTGTATATAATATGTATATACACAACAATCTAGCACTGAATAACAAACAAAACTAGAACTAACAGTAGACCTAGAACTAGAAACTTAGCGGTTTAGCAGCATGTCTCTTAAGACGGCTAAACCCGAATATTTCTTAGCTCTTCTTGTTTCTAGTTTCTAGTTCTCTCACCCGAAAGTTTCTAGTTGTAAGTCTAGTATTAACTCTAGTGATAATGCTAGTGTTAGTTCTAGTTTTAGTTAAATTGATATAAAATGCTTTAGAAATGTATTTCATAGAATAAAATAATTAAATTTTGATTAAATTATTATATTTTTATTCGATTACATCATTTTATAAAAAAAAGAAAATAACACGTCAGGAAATTACAATCAAAGAGAGAAGATAGTGGAAAACCACAAGAAAAAGAAAAAAAGAAATAAAAAGGAAGTCGCCGGAGACAAAATTAATTAAGAAACGATTTATAAGTGATTATCGTCAAATTCGTGTCGTCTTGATAAGGGCATAAAAGTTGAAACTAATTGAACTGTCAGTCTGGGGTGTCATTTCACGCTGAGACCGGATATAATTACACGACGAATTACACTTCGAAACGATTATCCAACACCCAATTTAACTAATAACCGAATTAAACGGCATTTTATACCCGTTTTTAATTGTCAACGTATTTGAAATAGTTGTTTTTCCTTTAGTTTTA